GAAGACGATCACCTTTACATTATTTATCGATATAATAATATCAACTGGTCCTTTTCTCTCTCGCACACGGATATACTGGACGATCGAGTTGCGCCGGAGTAATTCATCGGTACCTAATGGTGACGAGAAAGATGGAAATACATACATGATGTATAACAGCGTCAATGTAAAAGAACAAATAAATTTATGTATATATACACATCGGCACAATTGTTAAAAAATATTGAAAATTATTATTTAAGGAAACTGAAAATTATTATTTTACACATTTTAGGTAAGGATAAAGGATAATATTTATTTAATTTAATATGTTTCACGAATGTAGTGAGTGATTTTTTTTCGAGCACGCCCTAATATAGAGTGTTAAAATAAATTAACGGACAAAATCAACAACAAAAGACAGTTAAAACAAATGAAATGACAAAAAACAAAACAAGTCCATTATGGGAAACAAACAAAAGCCTCCTCAAGTGGGTGTAATGTAAAGTTAGATAATAAGTAATGAAAGAACAGATTTAATTCCGTTTTGTTTAATTTCCTCGGCCCGTGACTTTTTATTTTTGTCGCACCCTACAACACTATTACGAAAGCAGAAATGGCAATTGAAGAAGACGGGCGCTTAATTAGAGCACTTCACTCCGGGAAAAAAGTGCCGACCACAACAGTTGTTCCAAATTAATTCTTTTGTTCTCGTAAACACCGGGTAAAACACTACAGGAGCCGTTATTGTCGTTATAGGGATGTAAAAATAGATTAAAACGACTCCGTGCCGTTAAGGGAAACGGGTGAGACCGAAATTGAAGTGATCATAAACAACTTCGAAAGGTATTTTCCACCTGTCTCGTTACATGAGACAACAAGACAACATTCGTTTGTTTGGAGAAAAAAGTATTTTTAAACTGACACATATACAAACAATTGAAGTCCACGACGATGGTCTTTGTTCTGATCAATTTTCTTTTGACCAAATTTGCTTCATATTAAAACGACCCATGAGTCTCCACTTTATGCACCCATCAAATAATAGTAATTGAAACTGTTTAGGAGTCAGTTTTATTATTGCGATTACTTTTTTTATTATTTCGTCTGTTTTACGACCATCAAGAATTCTCAAGCATAACGGCATTTTTGGTGGTCACAAGTTACAAAATACGTGCATATATACATACATCATAACTCATACGTATACCTATGTACTGTGTAACTGTACTGGGCTGAATTGCATTGGTGTGCTTCTTTTTTCGTCTTTTTCAAAAATTGCTTTCCTTTTACGGCAACAGAAGGCCTATCCCGTAACTCGTGTGGAAACATAATTAATGTAAGCCGAAATAATAATATGTTGGTCGACTCGACGTAGAATATCACGAGCTTCGAACAACTGCACTGAAACACAAGAATTGTTCGTAGCAAAGAAACGCATCTGCTTGAAAAGAGTTAGTTACACCTGTTAAAATATTCTTCGGGATACCATCCTGCTGTTCCTGCCTATTTTAAAGACTTATTCTTCCTAAAATCAAACGACAACTTGAGGAGCATTATTTGAAAAATACTGGAGCAAAACTGAATCAAATCTCTTCCAAATCCCTGAAGAACCCTTGAAATTTCCTGCCACAAAAAGGACTGTTGCTTCGGGATACCACCCTGCTGTTCCTGTCTATTTTAAAGACTTATTCTTCCTAAAATCAAACGACAACTTGAGGAGCATTATTTGAAAGATACTGGAGCAAAACTGAATCAAATCTCTTCCAAATCCCTGAAGAACCCTTGAAATTCCCTGCCACCAAAAAGGACTGTTGCTTCGGGATACCACCCTGCTGTTCCTGTCTATTTTAAAGACTTATTCTTCCTAAAATCAAACGACAACTTGAGGAGCATTCATTGAAAGATACTGGAGCAAAACTGAATNCTATATTGCCAACTTAAAATACCGCAAATAATAAAACTTAACTACTACCAACATCATCTCAACAACAACTAAAGAATTGTTGGGCTTAGTGCCAAATGTCTGACCCCGGTTATTTACTAAACACAACATTTTTACGCCTTTAATAAGTGCAACACTAAAATTAATCCAATTCGCAAATAAAAGTAGTTGAAAATGTCCTACTTTCTTAAAATTAACGTATCTACAACTAAACTGTTTTTTAAATACTTTTTAACGTTAATCCAACTTGTAATACCTAATCGGCGATCATCTTTCTAACATGTATTTAACAGATTTTAACTATCATTCACTTAATAACGGCCCTGGCACCGAGCCATTTTATGGCCCTTGATTATTAACGAGCTCAATATTCAGCCATGCTCGATCTCGCGGATTATATGTGGTGTAAGTACCTTCGATGAGCAGCGAATATAATCGGATTTCCTTAATGCAGTTAACAACCTCTAGCCACTAATATCGTTATAAACATGCAGGAAGACAATCGTGTTAAGACAAAGGTCAATTATTTTGTTTCCGTGAAATTGAGGACGAAATAAGAACGACAACCGCGCAAGCAATTCAGGCGCGCCCGAGTATTTTTTTCAAAATCAAACGAAAAACAAAAAAGCAAAAAGAAATAATTAAAGAGTGTGCTTTATGAGATCGCCGATTAATTACCGATTAGCACAGATCGATCCGAACGATTATCGCAAACCAAGCACCTGGTGGACGAGACGGGATCGCGACAACCCCATATTTGCATATAAGATTACCTCAACATTGCCGGTAACGACTTGAGACAAGTCCGACATTTATTTTGCGTTACATAAATTATAGGATACGCGCAACACGAAAACGATACCAATACTCCGTTCAAATTAAAAAGCCAATAGACTCAAACAGACTGGATAAGGTCAACAGTGTACAGGGTGATTGTCAAATGTTTATTAAAAAACAATGGAAAAACAGCACATTCCATTGTTTCTAATACAGTAACTGAAAAAAATGAAAAACGAAAACATCTGCTCAAGAGGATTAACAGACCAGTTAGTGGTATTCATAACATTCCCTTCCATCTCCCCTTTTACTAAAATACAAATTTGCCAGCCGTCATCCCTCTTCAAATGGCCTGGTTTGTTACCTTTTACACGATATTTAAATATAAATGAAGCTAATATACCAATGGGTAGTTTTACCACATGTAAAATATGCGGGTGATTTTACGTAAAACTGTACTTTTTGATGCGTAGATTATTGGTGGCAGTCGCAGAGACATTTCGTCCCCATTTTGGGCCTGTTTTACATACAAAACACCTGTGCGTGCTCCGAAGGGTGCCGTTTACGAGTAGAAACCCGTTTAATCATTCAGTCGGGCACATATGGCGTATAAAATGTGTATTATATTTTATTCTTTCTTTCACCCTTCTCACTCACCATGTACGCACGTAAAACATAAAAATAGGTCGACTACACTCATAGGTGTACCTACACACACGTGTACAAACATGCATATGGAAATAAACACCTTTAGGCTTTACAAAGAGCAGATGTCGAAAACTTGGTTTAATTATTTAATCAATCTTAACAAGTAAAAAAATGCGCTTACACGATTTTTAATCAATTTCCCACAGGTATACGTAGATTCAACATTAAACAACGATTATGTTTTTTTTTGTTGTTTCATTTGTCTCTAACAAACGAATGAAACAAACGAGAATTGCATCAATTTTGTTTCGGTCTGTATTAGGCACCGTAAAAACACATCGTTGCGATTTTGTTTGCGCTATGCTGTATGTGTATGACAAAACCCTATCGCAATCGTATCATTCCATTATTATTGATACTGTCGGATATGATCATATGATACATAGACAGATACGGTGATCGTCCCCTCTTGGCCTGTTTAAAAGGGACAATCAAACAGTAATGAAACTACAATGTGATAGGGATGGGCAGGATTTATCAAGTGGCTGCCCCGGATAATATATTTTATGTAACATACGGAGCTAATAACAAAAACCAACTATATTATAAGTTAAACAGGCGTGACGATTTCATTCGAAAAAAAAAAAAAAAAGAAGCAGATGTGAAGTGTTCTTTTGTAATAACGCCGGCAAATTCGAGTGTTGGCAGGATATCGAATTTCAAAAGGCTTTTTCCTTTTCTAAACATCGCGCGGCGCCAATCAAGAATATGGGTCAAACTGAGGTTTTAAATATAGAGTATTTAAAAAGAGAAGATAAAATAAATAAATATACAGGTAAGGAAAAATTATAAACGAACTTTTTATGTCGCATGAAGGAAAATGCAAAATATCACCTGAAGACTGATCTAAAGTAGCCGAGCTCTCAAACCCTTCTGAACAAAACTTAGACTTAATATTAAAAATGTGCAGAATTTTTTAGAGACAACAAATTTTGACTTACATTTCGAAATGAAAAAGCTAACTATGAAGATAACTACAAACACGATGTAATTTTTGTTTGATGAATAACGAAACAACAGATGTTTGAAAGCAAGCAATTGTTTAACGTATTATTTTTCTGGAAATGTAAAATTACGAAATTTGTTAGTATAAAACCATAAAAACGAGGACGTTGACACTCGCAACACCTGTATGAACATTGCATTACAAAGCTAGAGAATTTCACATATGGGTAAACACCGTCGTTACATTACGTGGTTCTTCTAAGAAATAATAATTTAAACTTCACACTTCAACAGGAAAAATTCCTAGTTTTTGTCAAGAGAAAATTTTACTTATATTAACTATATTTTACATCCCTATATATTTACTGAAGTAATTTTCTGGAAATCGTAATAGAAAATATTTAATTTATCATTAGTTATTAATATTTTTGTAATTAACTCCATTTAATAGTTAAAATTGAGCATAAACCACCTATATTGCACAAGGTTTTCGCCACCTATTATATTCGCTTCTAAATAGGGGTGAAAATATACCGCATATCTGCATTTCGCAAATAAATCAGGGTAAACCACCTTTGTAACACCATAAAAAATTACATTAAAACTTCCAAAAAAAATCAAAACAAAATATAACAAAAAGACTCACCATTAGATGGTCTAGTAGCCGACGTAAAAATCCAGGCCTTTTCTAGGGGGTGTTTCAGCGATGTAAAACATCTGAAAAACCAAATAAAAATTGCATTAAAAACAAGAAAAAGCAGATACGTGACTGTTTTAAAATTGTAATACTTAACAAAAAATGTTTAAAACAAATGAATTACAATAATTTCTTTTTAGTTTTTTTTTTTGGTGAAATAAACAAATTTTTAGATGTTAACCGATAAAAATAATAAAAAAACAGTATACTTACTTGTGATAACAGTCGCTTTTCCGCCTTTAATGTAATGTTATAATCCAGCTTGCAAATGATATCAATAATATAAGTACACAAAGCCTGCAACAAAAAACGGTAATTTAGAAATACGTAAAAATTTCAAAAACAAAAAAAAAAAATAATTAACCAACTAACTTACCATGTAATTAATTACATGGCTGCCTTGAAACAATCCCACACATGACAATAGGGATGAAACTTGTACTTATAAATGGTTTCTGTAACAAACAAGATATCACATTAGTTGTAACCCCTAATAAGTAAAACAAAAGGGAATCGTAATAATTTTATGAATTTAAAAAAACCCTTACCGTTTTAGGCTTGTGCCGTTATGGTGAACAAGCATGGAATTACTAACACTCCCGAAAAAGAAAGTACGGATCGACCGACTAGATTAAACCTGAAAAAAAAAAGAAGTATTTTTAGGAAAAGTCGAAATTTATAAAAAAAAATGTAAACTTACCGTTAGTTACAATCTCCAACGCCGTAGAGGGTTGTGTGGGCTCACGCGGCCATAGTTTCCCGATCGCGACGCTTATCCCGATGGCCTTATACCGAACGATAAGAAAACCATAATTCGACGATTTACCTACTCACCCCATACAACAAACAGAATCAATAAAATAAATTAAAATCGAGGTGGAAACTATATGGAATTAACTTAATTTAAAACTGAATTAACTTCAAAATGCTGGCAACAAATTATGAAAATACTAACATATATCTAATATGGAAATGGAAATAATTATTTCAAATTTAATTATAATATATGATGAATTTAAGATATTTCATTAATGGGGTGAGCAATAAATAAAGAACGACCCACACAAAAACGCGTGCTACTTTTCGAACAAAAAAATCGCGACCGAAAATACTTTTGTCGAGCACCTGAAATAAAAGAAAACAATAGTTAGTGCACATNCCTGCCACAAAAAGGACTGTTGCTTCGGGATACCATCCCGCTGTTCCTGTCTATTTTAAAGACTTATTCTTCCTAAAATCAAACGACAACTTGAGGAGCATTCATTGAAAGATACTGGAGCAAAACTGAATCAAATCTTTTCCAAATCCCTGAAGAACCCTTCAAATTTCCTGCCACAAAAAGGACTGTTGCTTCGGGATACCATCCCGCTGTTCCTGTCTATTTTAAAGACTTATTCTTCCTAAAATCAAACGACAACTTGAGGAGCATTCATTGAAAGATACTGGAGCAAAACTGAATCAAATCTTTTCCAAATCCCTGAAGAACCCTTCAAATTTCCTGCCACAAAAAGGACTGTTGCTTCGGGATACCATCCCGCTGTTCCTGTCTATTTTAAAGACTTATTCTTCCTAAAATCAAACGACAACTTGAGGAGCATTCATTGAAAGATACTGGAGCAAAACTGAATCAAATCTTTTCCAAATCCCTGAAGAACCCTTCAAATTTCCTGCCACAAAAAGGACTGTTGCTTCGGGATACCATCCCGCTGTTCCTGTCTATTTTAAAGACTTATTCTTCCTAAAATCAAACGACAACTTGAGGAGCATTCATTGAAAGATACTGGAGCAAAACTGAATCAAATCTTTTCCAAATCCCTGAAGAACCCTTCAAATTTCCTGCCACAAAAAGGACTGTTGCTTCGGGATACCATCCCGCTGTTCCTGTCTATTTTAAAGACTTATTCTTCCTAAAATCAAACGACAACTTGAGGAGCATTCATTGAAAGATACTGGAGCAAAACTGAATCAAATCTTTTCCAAATCCCTGAAGAACCCTTCAAATTTCCTGCCACAAAAAGGACTGTTGCTTCGGGATACCATCCCGCTGTTCCTGTCTATTTTAAAGACTTATTCTTCCTAAAATCAAACGACAACTTGAGGAGCATTCATTGAAAGATACTGGAGCAAAACTGAATCAAATCTTTTCCAAATCCCTGAAGAACCCTTCAAATTTCCTGCCACAAAAAGGACTGTTGCTTCGGGATACCATCCCGCTGTTCCTGTCTATTTTAAAGACTTATTCTTCCTAAAATCAAACGACAACTTGAGGAGCATTCATTGAAAGATACTGGAGCAAAACTGAATCAAATCTTTTCCAAATCCCTGAAGAACCCTTCAAATTTCCTGCCACAAAAAGGACTGTTGCTTCGGGATACCATCCCGCTGTTCCTGTCTATTTTAAAGACTTATTCTTCCTAAAATCAAACGACAACTTGAGGAGCATTCATTGAAAGATACTGGAGCAAAACTGAATCAAATCTTTTCCAAATCCCTGAAGAACCCTTCAAATTTCCTGCCACAAAAAGGACTGTTGCTTCGGGATACCATCCCGCTGTTCCTGTCTATTTTAAAGACTTATTCTTCCTAAAATCAAACGACAACTTGAGGAGCATTCATTGAAAGATACTGGAGCAAAACTGAATCAAATCTTTTCCAAATCCCTGAAGAACCCTTCAAATTTCCTGCCACAAAAAGGACTGTTGCTTCGGGATACCATCCCGCTGTTCCTGTCTATTTTAAAGACTTATTCTTCCTAAAATCAAACGACAACTTGAGGAGCATTCATTGAAAGATACTGGAGCAAAACTGAATCAAATCTTTTCCAAATCCCTGAAGAACCCTTCAAATTTCCTGCCACAAAAAGGACTGTTGCTTCGGGATACCATCCCGCTGTTCCTGTCTATTTTAAAGACTTATTCTTCCTAAAATCAAACGACAACTTGAGGAGCATTCATTGAAAGATACTGGAGCAAAACTGAATCAAATCTTTTCCAAATCCCTGAAGAACCCTTCAAATTTCCTGCCACAAAAAGGACTGTTGCTTCGGGATACCATCCCGCTGTTCCTGTCTATTTTAAAGACTTATTCTTCCTAAAATCAAACGACAACTTGAGGAGCATTCATTGAAAGATACTGGAGCAAAACTGAATCAAATCTTTTCCAAATCCCTGAAGAACCCTTCAAATTTCCTGCCACAAAAAGGACTGTTGCTTCGGGATACCATCCCGCTGTTCCTGTCTATTTTAAAGACTTATTCTTCCTAAAATCAAACGACAACTTGAGGAGCATTCATTGAAAGATACTGGAGCAAAACTGAATCAAATCTTTTCCAAATCCCTGAAGAACCCTTCAAATTTCCTGCCACAAAAAGGACTGTTGCTTCGGGATACCATCCCGCTGTTCCTGTCTATTTTAAAGACTTATTCTTCCTAAAATCAAACGACAACTTGAGGAGCATTCATTGAAAGATACTGGAGCAAAACTGAATCAAATCTTTTCCAAATCCCTGAAGAACCCTTCAAATTTCCTGCCACAAAAAGGACTGTTGCTTCGGGATACCATCCCGCTGTTCCTGTCTATTTTAAAGACTTATTCTTCCTAAAATCAAACGACAACTTGAGGAGCATTCATTGAAAGATACTGGAGCAAAACTGAATCAAATCTTTTCCAAATCCCTGAAGAACCCTTCAAATTTCCTGCCACAAAAAGGACTGTTGCTTCGGGATACCATCCCGCTGTTCCTGTCTATTTTAAAGACTTATTCTTCCTAAAATCAAACGACAACTTGAGGAGCATTCATTGAAAGATACTGGAGCAAAACTGAATCAAATCTTTTCCAAATCCCTGAAGAACCCTTCAAATTTCCTGCCACAAAAAGGACTGTTGCTTCGGGATACCATCCCGCTGTTCCTGTCTATTTTAAAGACTTATTCTTCCTAAAATCAAACGACAACTTGAGGAGCATTCATTGAAAGATACTGGAGCAAAACTGAATCAAATCTTTTCCAAATCCCTGAAGAACCCTTCAAATTTCCTGCCACAAAAAGGACTGTTGCTTCGGGATACCATCCCGCTGTTCCTGTCTATTTTAAAGACTTATTCTTCCTAAAATCAAACGACAACTTGAGGAGCATTCATTGAAAGATACTGGAGCAAAACTGAATCAAATCTTTTCCAAATCCCTGAAGAACCCTTCAAATTTCCTGCCACAAAAAGGACTGTTGCTTCGGGATACCATCCCGCTGTTCCTGTCTATTTTAAAGACTTATTCTTCCTAAAATCAAACGACAACTTGAGGAGCATTCATTGAAAGATACTGGAGCAAAACTGAATCAAATCTTTTCCAAATCCCTGAAGAACCCTTCAAATTTCCTGCCACAAAAAGGACTGTTGCTTCGGGATACCATCCCGCTGTTCCTGTCTATTTTAAAGACTTATTCTTCCTAAAATCAAACGACAACTTGAGGAGCATTCATTGAAAGATACTGGAGCAAAACTGAATCAAATCTTTTCCAAATCCCTGAAGAACCCTTCAAATTTCCTGCCACAAAAAGGACTGTTGCTTCGGGATACCATCCCGCTGTTCCTGTCTATTTTAAAGACTTATTCTTCCTAAAATCAAACGACAACTTGAGGAGCATTCATTGAAAGATACTGGAGCAAAACTGAATCAAATCTTTTCCAAATCCCTGAAGAACCCTTCAAATTTCCTGCCACAAAAAGGACTGTTGCTTCGGGATACCATCCCGCTGTTCCTGTCTATTTTAAAGACTTATTCTTCCTAAAATCAAACGACAACTTGAGGAGCATTCATTGAAAGATACTGGAGCAAAACTGAATCAAATCTTTTCCAAATCCCTGAAGAACCCTTCAAATTTCCTGCCACAAAAAGGACTGTTGCTTCGGGATACCATCCCGCTGTTCCTGTCTATTTTAAAGACTTATTCTTCCTAAAATCAAACGACAACTTGAGGAGCATTCATTGAAAGATACTGGAGCAAAACTGAATCAAATCTTTTCCAAATCCCTGAAGAACCCTTCAAATTTCCTGCCACAAAAAGGACTGTTGCTTCGGGATACCATCCCGCTGTTCCTGTCTATTTTAAAGACTTATTCTTCCTAAAATCAAACGACAACTTGAGGAGCATTCATTGAAAGATACTGGAGCAAAACTGAATCAAATCTTTTCCAAATCCCTGAAGAACCCTTCAAATTTCCTGCCACAAAAAGGACTGTTGCTTCGGGATACCATCCCGCTGTTCCTGTCTATTTTAAAGACTTATTCTTCCTAAAATCAAACGACAACTTGAGGAGCATTCATTGAAAGATACTGGAGCAAAACTGAATCAAATCTTTTCCAAATCCCTGAAGAACCCTTCAAATTTCCTGCCACAAAAAGGACTGTTGCTTCGGGATACCATCCCGCTGTTCCTGTCTATTTTAAAGACTTATTCTTCCTAAAATCAAACGACAACTTGAGGAGCATTCATTGAAAGATACTGGAGCAAAACTGAATCAAATCTTTTCCAAATCCCTGAAGAACCCTTCAAATTTCCTGCCACAAAAAGGACTGTTGCTTCGGGATACCATCCCGCTGTTCCTGTCTATTTTAAAGACTTATTCTTCCTAAAATCAAACGACAACTTGAGGAGCATTCATTGAAAGATACTGGAGCAAAACTGAATCAAATCTTTTCCAAATCCCTGAAGAACCCTTCAAATTTCCTGCCACAAAAAGGACTGTTGCTTCGGGATACCATCCCGCTGTTCCTGTCTATTTTAAAGACTTATTCTTCCTAAAATCAAACGACAACTTGAGGAGCATTCATTGAAAGATACTGGAGCAAAACTGAATCAAATCTTTTCCAAATCCCTGAAGAACCCTTCAAATTTCCTGCCACAAAAAGGACTGTTGCTTCGGGATACCATCCCGCTGTTCCTGTCTATTTTAAAGACTTATTCTTCCTAAAATCAAACGACAACTTGAGGAGCATTCATTGAAAGATACTGGAGCAAAACTGAATCAAATCTTTTCCAAATCCCTGAAGAACCCTTCAAATTTCCTGCCACAAAAAGGACTGTTGCTTCGGGATACCATCCCGCTGTTCCTGTCTATTTTAAAGAC